AATGCTGTAGTCCAAACGAGCCGTTCGTTGTAGTTCTTGAAAAGTGATTTTTTTTTTAAACGAAATATCTCCCTTTGGAGTGGACTTTGAGATTTGTAAGTTTGAAGATCTTTTATGCCCAAACATACACACTACACACTGACTAAAATTCAAAAAGTGAAAAAGCATAATAGGACCCCTTTAAATTTTCACGTTTCAATTTCACAAAGAAATGTTCAGCATTTCGTCCAAGCAATAATAAATGGACATCTTTTCATTTATAATTTGTCTTAAATCTCATTGTTGAAAAAAAAACAAAATGAAAAATTGTGAGAAAATTGTATAGTGAAATCAGTATCGTGAATCATATTGCATCGTAAGTTGAGTGAATCGTCACATCCCTAAATAATAATTAATCTAAACAAACATTTGCTTGCTGAGTTGGTTTTAGTTCTATAATATTAGTGTAAAACTCTGAATATGAAAACACTAAATGTGGACAAATAACCAAGTAGACTGTTTTTACATCTTTGATTTGAATCGTTCATGTCACTTACATCACTGTGCATCAGACTAACATTCCTACATGTATGTGTGTTTGCTAAAACACAGATTAGCAAAAAAAATATTCTTATAACCTGGATTATCTTGATACGACCAATTCCAACATGTACGACAAACCAGATTGGTCATCACTTACAGAGAGAGGGACAGAGACAGAGACAGTGTGCTGCTCATAAGAGATAAAAGAGCCATAGGCTAATGCTGAAAAAGATGTAGAGAACAGAGACGGGGATAAAAAAAACAGGCACGAGGTCATGAGCGGCTAATTATCCTGTCGGTAGTAATGCACTCAAGCCTGTGATCACCACAGGGTCATCCGTACTACACGCACCTGAGAGAGAGGTGTGTGGCGGTGCGTTTTAACTTAGCAGACGAGTCTGTTTGTGCTCTCGGTGTGAGTCCTTCACCTCTTGGATGCTGGTACGTGGTCTGACACAGAAAACAGATGTAAAACACATTATTTCCTGAACAAAAGTTCTCACGTGTTATTCCTTTCCTTCAGACTTTTCCCTCCTCTACTTCCACGCAGCAGCCTTTCAGCACCCGACGGTCCATTATTAGCTGTAAAAATGCCACTTTCATTACCCCATTGTCATCAAGATGCTCAAATCAGCATCCTTCAACACCAAACCTTCACCTTTTCATTTCTGCTCATCTCCTTTTCTTTTTGCCTCCACTTCACATCTCTGCAAAATCTCCCAGTGTCCTTCTCTGCCCATTAAAGAGGTCCATTTTATTTTTCTCTTCCTGGTCTTCCCTAAACCACTCCATTTCCCCATTTGAATCACTTCACTCATGCGCCGCCTAGTTTGTAGTATAAGTGTCCCTGAGGCTAATTTAAGCTTTCCAACAAAATACATGCATTATACCAAAAGTACAAAACAGCCATATCAAAACAGCCAGTTCCTCTTCATCAAGGTCTAACATGTCTTTTACCCACCACCCGAATGTTTCTTACCTACTGGTGATGAGGCAGAGATGTGGCATCACGTGGCAGCCTTTCTCTCCCTCCAACAGAAGTTCTCAGCTTCACAGATTGTGTGGAGTGCGTCTATGAGTTTTGATTTTCAATGATACAGAAAGAGATCTGAGAAAAGAAGCAGAAGAAAAGAGAATTGTGAAAATGCTGTGAGGTCATCGAGACATGCCACAAAATGAGAGTACAGATAAAGGGAACCACAAAACTGAAACCAACCGATTTTAACATTAATTAGAGCAAATATAAAAAAACAATGCTATGAATAATTTTATAATAAAATTTACATTTCATAACACTGTAACAAATGGATTTTAATTTTACTTTATATCTGAAACTTGGTCACAAACCAAAATACATGGTTATTCATCACAAATGAATAGGTCTGAAAGAAAGCTGCATTTATGCATCACCTGAGTAACAAAAACTGTAAAAGTATTATCATAAAACAGAATTTTTATAATAACATTTTTGACTTAGTACAAACTGTTTACATGTTTTTCTCCATCATGTAATCAGCCCACAACAATGCTAAAATGCCTTGCCAAAGCACTGGATGATGATCACGTATTTAAGGCGGAGGAACAGCTCAAGGAGAGTTGATCGGTCTGAAGCCCTGAAGGACTCAGACCAGTTCAGAAATCAATTCCATCATCCCCTAGACATGACATCAAACACAAGCTCGGCTGTAACTGCTCTACACTACCAGGGAAGCCAAATCTCCCCATCTTAACACCATTATCATCCAAAAACCTGCTCACAGCAATACTGAGGGCTGGATTCTCCATTCCCTCAGCTAGTATGTGTGTGTGTGTGTGTGTGTGTGTCCAGTGTAGTACAGCAGGTGTAGGTGTGAATTGAGATATTTCTGGGTCACATGTTGCACTCACTGATGACTGAATTAAGCCCTTTTAAGATGACTCATGTCATTGAACGCCAACGCTTGGGAGCAAAGCATCAGCTACAGAACTTCCGGTCAAGTGTTAGTGTGCCACTCAAAGTTCAGATGATTTCAACAACCCCACTTGGCGCTGACATTTCAAAGAGCAGCCAATAGGGATGCTCCGATCAGGATTTTTGCAGCCGATACCGAGTACCGATTTCTTGTCATGGTTATAGGCAGATACCGATTCTGATGCTTCAAGGCAAGCTTTTATATAACATATGTAATAATGTTATATAAATAATCACAAAAATTATTCCTTATACAGTGAACATTTTAATATGCCTTTAAAATGGGGTTTATGCATAACATTATGTATATCAGGATACTTAAGACAAAAATAAATACAAACAAAATGGAGCAGACTGATGCAACCCACAAGGTTTATTTAAACATTATCCAATAGTAAACTGTGGAGGACAAAATAAACATTTAATCTCCTAAAATTGAGAAGTCTGATGTAACTTAAACATTGTCCAATACAAGTCTGAGCAGGACAAAATTAATAATAAAAAAAAACATTTAAACTCCTAAAAGAACTAATTGGAGTAGTTTGATGCAACTCATCAGGTTTAATTTTACATTGGACAAAATAAATAGAAACATTTAAACTCCAACATGAAGTCTGATGTAACTTATAAGGTTTAATACTGTCCAATATAAGACTGACGAGGAAAAAATAAATAGAAACATTTAAACTACTGAAAGAACAAAAAGGAGTAGTTCGATCACGGTTATATGCACGGGCGCTGCGGATAACCCACGGGTCAATTTATGCATTGCTTAATCCAAAGAGCCGAAGCGCCATTCACACAGACTGCATTTAAAAACATATGAGACGCAGTGAAAAGGAATAAACCTCAACAAATTCATGATGTGTTTTCTAAAAGTTTAAACTGTTTTAACTTTGCATGGCTTTCTATACATCTCTTGTGTGAGCAGCAGTCGTATTTGTCCATCTAAAACTGCACTGAATATGCGTTCTGTGTGAATGGCTTGGTTTCGGTTTTAACCCATTCAAGATCTTCTCCGCATTGAGCTTCTAAATTTCTCTAATATTTTGAATGCATAACTCAGCAGCGGCGCATCTCGTGGGCTTGACTAACAAAACATTCAAATGAAACAATGTCACTCACATCATCACCGCATCTCGCGCGCCACTGATGACGCTCCCTGATG